TATCAATTCCACGTTAATGTTACGTTAGTCTGTACTTAACTACGTATTTCACTAAAAAATGCAACATTTTAACTCGGTTTTTGGTAGATTTTTACGTGACTAACATAAGGCTACTGTGGAAGTGCCCATTTCGGTTACAACGACACTATTTTTAGGTCCCTTTGATGACGTTATAACCAAGTTCTACTGTATATGCAAAATGAACTTACAAATTTCATCTATACACTCAGTAACAAAATTTGAAAACGGTGTACTACATTTTGTTTATACAATATTATCAACGGCGCGCTGTGAAATTAAACAAGGGAAAGATGCAATACAGACTAGAATAAGTCATCTACACAAAGTAACCACGAATTCTGTGGAAGAGTTTATGGTATACATGGTACACAGGAGAGTCCATTCGTATCACTAAAACTGGATTTGTCCCAAAGCTGGCAGGTCACGCAGATGGACCGCGGGTTCCATGGGGTCGGGGACTTTCTAACCGTCGGCCAGCCGCTAGCAGAAGCTTTCCTTGCGGCGGAGCGGGAATTGGGTTGCCCCTCGGACGTTGACATCAACGGCAGGAACTATATCAAAATCTCCCAATCGAATTCCAACAAAATCTGTTTAACTCTTTATGCGATACGTGGAAAAGTCAAGGTCAAGGCTATGGTCATGAGAATGTGCACGGAGCACAGGGACAAGTCAGTTTACAGACTTACGCAAACCCGGCTTTCTTATCTATCGACATTGCCGGAAACCGGAAATGGCTCACAGCTTTAATTGGAGTCTCCCATACCGAATTTCAACAACACCTATAAAGCGGTTTATAAGATACATGGAAAATCCTATTGTCATATGTAGACTAGCCTTATTAAGGACCAATACAGCGGCAAACCAGAATTTCCCAAAAGCCCTTCGTTAACGTCTCCCATATCGAATTTTAAGAAAATCTGATTAATTTTTGGGGGACTTGATGCGTCACACACGGACGAACGCAGAGAGTGGCCTCCTGAAAAAAAGGTAAATTTGTCCGTGCGCTTAACTAATTAAGCATTACGCCATGAAGACGTATGGCTGGGTGGATGTACGTGTATAAATCCGCATTTTACCACATTCGCATTCGGACGTGGACACAATGTTAAATCTGTTTAGGCTTGCTTTAAGACTGGTGTTGCCTGTTCTCATACGGTTTATTGACACGAAGTCACGGAGGCTCATTTTTATCATGCGGAACCACTGTGACAGGTCATTCCTGTTGTACCATTCAAAGTTGCTTTCTCCTCTGTCCCTTTCATCAAAGTTTTGACTTTTTTGTGGAAAAAATTATTCCAAATGTACAAAAAAGGCCTAGACATTCCCATCCGGCCTTCTGTAGCACATTCTTATATACATCTTAATATATTATAGCGATCTCCCCGCGATTCTTAATATAGACTCTAACTTAAATCTGAGAGTATGCTGTTACTTGTAATAATCTTTCCAATTATTTTTTTTACTTTTCTTACATAGCTTTTTTATATAAATATAGGAATGTTGTTTACGAAGTAAGACTGACAGATATGAACTCTGATGAGGCAAGTGGACAAGTGAATTTTCATAATTAATGTAGGAGTGTGAAAGGGGGTATGATTCCTTCAATTATTTTTTTCACAGAGGGCTGATGAACCCATGTCACTCTAATCTTAACCATGATTCATGACACAGGTAAACAATTTTCCACAAATTCTGATTAAGTGCATGCTCAAACTGCTGGCCATTGTTCAAATATTCAGCTTTACCTAATATTATGATTTTGCATATCCTGAAGTTATAAAACTATGTCACTTACTAAGGGCCTGAAAATTTTATTCTTCGACATCAGCTCCGTTATTTATCACTTCCATAAGTTCACTGCCATATTCTTTCATGCGAACCTCAATAACAGTTGCCCCTGCATCCAAACTATTTTCCACCAGTTCTTTCACTGCTGTTGCCAAACTGAGGACAACCCGATGGAAGGATATAACAATAAATGCTTACGTTACCACAGGTTTCAGTACATTAGGTAGAATATTGTGTCAAGTTAATGAGTGAAAAGTGAGTTCGAAAATGCAGAGTTCTAACCTGACCAGAGCAGATTTGATGTACATCTTTATTTACGGCTTCAGTCCTAGTTTCTTTCTCTTCTGGAGGTGAAAGTTCTATTTACGCAGTTTAATGTGACCATTAAACAATTAGGAACCGACAAAATTGTTCATAAAATTGAATATAAATACTTTATCGTTTAAACACAACTTGCGATAAAACATAACCTATAATTTATATCATTACTTCGGATTCCCGCCCCAAACATTGCGATAATCAGTAGCATTTGTTCATTTGGCGTACTTTACATTCCCTGTTCTGTCAGAAAATTTAGTGAACTGTAGACATCTATTGGGAATATATGGAACTTCAGATGCTCCAGATGAAACAAATGCTACTGAATAGCCTGTTGTTTGGCGCGGGAATTTGAAGTACTGATATATATTATAGGTTATGTTGTTTCGAAAGTTGTGTTTGAACGATTACGTATATTATTCAATTTTATGAAAATTGTCGGTTCCTAATTATTTAATGATCACATTAAGCTGCGTAAATGGAACTTTCATCTCCAGAAGTGAAAGAAACTAGGATTGAAGCCATAAATAAAGATGTTGTACATCAAATCTGCTCGGGTCAGGTTAGAACTTTGCATTTCCGAATTTGTATTTTCGAACTCACTTTTCACTCATTAACTTGACGCAGTATTTTACTTAATATACTGAAACCTGTGGTAATGTAAGCAGTAATTGTTATATCCTTCCATCAGGTTGTCCTCAGTTTGGCAACAGCAGTGAAAGAACTGGTGGAAAATAGTTTGGATGCAGGGGCAACTGTTATTGAGGTTCGCATGAAAGAATATGGCAGTGAACTTGTGGAAGTAATAGACAATGGAGCTGGTATCGAAGAAGAAAATTTTCAGGCCCTTAGTAAGTGACATATTTTTATAACTTCAGGATATGCAAAGACATAATATTAGTTTGATTTGTTTTGAACTTAGGTTGTTTTGGTTCAATATCAATGTGAGTATGGACATTATTTCTTTTATAATGCTTTTGTCCATGTGACTATCCTTAAGTAGTTTATGGGTTACAAGAAGTGTATCACTGATTGGGATATTAACGTATAGGTCCTTAATATCCAATGTTAGTAGTTTATGATTTGCGTTTAGTTTTAAGTTCCTTATGTTTTCTGCAAAATGTATTGTGTTAGTGATGTTGTACTCGTATTTTAATTTTAGGTGTTCGTTTATTCTTTGATGTATGCATTTAGCTAGTTTATGTGTGGGTGCATTAGTGTTGTTTATTACTGGTCTAATTGGGGCCTCTTGTTTGTGAATTTTAATTTTTTAATATTAGGTAAAGCTGAATATTTGAATAGTGGCCGGCAGTTTGAGCTTGCACTTAATCGGAATTTGTGGAAAAGAGTTTACCTGTTTCATGAATCATGGTTAAGATTAGAGCGATTGGAATCCATACTTCCTTTCATGCTCCTACATTAATTATGAAAATTTACTTGTCCACTTGCCTCATCAGATTTTATATTCATTCGTTCATTTATTTACAGTTCTACAAAATCCATGGAGGTGTCTGCCTCAGATGTAGAACAAGTCAGCAATACAATATAACATATGAATATACATACATAATCAGATAGTCATCATCATCAAAATTTTAAATACTCAATACAACAGGACTACTGTACAATACATTCCATATATCAAAATGACATAAAATTACATACATGATCAAGAGACCACCAAGACTCTTAATATAGTCATATAAAATCTAATTTCTTAATATATAATACACCTATATCACAACAGTAATAGTACCTTTTTCCTGTGTATTTTATTCCATAGACCGTTGCATCCTAGCAATAGGCAACAGTGTTTATTTAAATATACATGAGGGATCAATCTTTATTCCAGCAGTAGTACTCTTCAGCAGTGTAAAAGGAATCGGTGATAAGAAACTTCTTTAATGTCAGTTTAAATCCAGGGATGTCATAAGATAATTGTTTAAGCTCTGGAGGGAGGTGGTTATAAAGTTTGATACCAGAATACCATTCACCTTTCTGAAATATCGTTAAGTTTACCACTGGAAGATGCAAGTCATGATTAAATCTGGTATTACGTTTGTGGACATCAGAGTTTGTTACATAGCGATCTCTATTCTTGACAACCAACATAAGTAAGGAAATTATATATTGCGATTGAAGTGGCAGTACATGTAACTCCTTAAATAAATTACGGCACGAGTCCACATTACAAGAATTGGTAATAATTCTTATTATTCTTTTCTGTATTTGAAATATGATTTTTTATTATCATTATCTAATTACCAGAATTATTTTTCTAAGGAAAGTTTGAATATTTTTTTTAATTAAAGGTATAGAATTTTCTTGATATCAGTTTTTAAATTGATCATTAATTAGCTTCTCTCAAAATTTTCCAAGCAACATAGCCTATAGAGCGTGGTCTTCTGGGTTTTGACATCATTTTGTCTGGTATTTGAATACCAGTATATTGGAGGAAACTGTTCCTCCATCATCTGGGTTGAAGTGAGTGAAGTTTGGATGTCCTGAAGGGTACTGAAGATGAAGGCAGCAGATTAATTTGTACCACTCACCAGATTTCACATTATCATAACCCAGAAGAGCACAGTCTAAATTATCACTGATGTTAAAAATTCAAATCCCAACATAATCCATTTTCTATGTAATTGCTTCAAATTTCTGTGCAAAGATTGTCAGTGGCAATTGTTCATTTGAAGTTGAATTTTCTAGTCCCCCCTGCATCTGTAGCAAATTCTTTCTGAGAATTTATACACAGTGGACAGTATAACTGGTAGATTCTCTGCCTTTTAAAGCTCTTTGCCATCTAGTTTACATATGCTGAAACATTATTTTTATCAATTAAGCAATTTGTTTGTAAGTTGAGTGTGCACCCTTATGCCTCAGGTATAAACTAGTATTACAGTTTAGACACTATAATAACAATTCTTTCTTTATTTAAGCTCTTAAGCACCATACTTCAAAACTGAGGGAATTTTCTGACCTAGTGTCAGTGAAAACATTTGGTTTCCGTGGTGAAGCACTTAGTTCACTATGTGCTCTCAGTGAAATGGCAGTTGTCACCCGCCACTCTTCCGCTTCATGTGGAACAAGATTAGAATTTGATTGCAGAGGACAAATTATAAAGAAGCAACCTTGTGCCAGACAAGTGAGTGTGATTAACATTTGATGATGTTTTTATTTTTATGAATTTGGTTGCCTTTGCAGCAAGTACTTGATTGAGTCTTAGAGAGGAATATCTGTCCATACAGTAGGCTCCCATTATACTGCGGCTTTGATCATGTACCCCAGTAGAATTCCATGTTTTATATCTTATATATTTCTGTGAAATATTTTAGTTACTGTATAAGAGTGTATTGCAACATTCCATGCTATAGTATGTATGTATTCTAGTCACTGCATAAGTACTATACACAAAATAACAGGGATTCTAAAATCATATAAGGGTAAATTTTACTTATATCATGGGTACTGAATCTGTCCCCAGCATACACTTTATATCAAGGGTCTGTATTTGGTTATGGACAATGTACAGTTGCTATTTTACTATTCTAATAATATCACCATTTTAACACTGACAGCAGTCCTTCAGTATATTTTCAATAAGACTACTGATTTAATACAATGTCCTTTAGGCAAGTTCCTCAAATATTAAAAAAAAAGAACTTTGAGGTTCATAACAAGTTGAGATTCAACTAGAAATAATATAGTGTCGGTTAGTTTTTTACAGTCTCACATGTAACACTATGTTCTATAAAATTTATTAAAAGTGATTCATTTTTAAAGGTTATCACTATGTGTTTTGACCAATGTGGTCATTATCAGGTGTTAAAATTACTGGGCAAGGAAACTGCTGTATTCTGTTTCGTTGCTTATGTTGTTAATATATAAGTCCCCTCAATGCACATGTGTGTTTGAGTTGGTGTGTTGTGCTGCGTGTCTTGTTTTTGAGTGCACTTGAACACAACAGGAGAGAATATAACCCATCAACTCAAACACACATGCACATCAAGGGGACTTCTACTACTATGTCCAAAAAGTATCCGACCTTGGGCCGGGAAAAAAAAAGTTCTGTATCTGGGTGGTTACAATACCTAATCGCCTTCAAAGTAGGCCCCTTGTGACTCCACACACTTAGCCCAGAGGTCCTTCCATTGCTGGAAGCAATTCTGGAAGGCTTCTTTTGGAATGGCGTGCAGCTGCGCCGTCGCGTTCTGTATGATGTCCTCACGGCTGTCAAAAACGGCAGCCTTTTAGCAGTGTCTTCAATCTCGGGAACAGCCAGAAATCACAAGGAGCTATGTCAGGAGAGAAGGGAGCCTGGCGAACCTGTGGAATGCCGTGCTTGGCCAGGAAACCCTGGATCAGGTGTGATGAATGAGCTGGGGCATTGTCATGCTGCAGCTGCTAGTTGCGTGCTTCCCACAGCTCTGGTCTCTTGCACCGAACTGCATCATGAAGATGGCGGAGGACTTCTTGGTAGTACTCCTTATTGACAGTTTGACCTAGTGGTGCATATTCATGAAGCACAACATCCCAGTAATCGAAAAAAACAGTCAGTATCACCTGCACATTGCTCCAAACCTATCGTGTTTTTTTTTGGACCTCGGGGTTGTTGGATGCTTCCATTGCGATGTCTGGACCTTGGTTTCCAGGTCATATCCGTACACCCACGACTCGTCACCAGTGATCACAGTCTTCAGGAACTCAGGATCCCTGTTGGTGAACTCCAGCATGTCCTGCGTGACCTCAAGACGGAGTTGTTGCTGCTCCGGTGGAAGCAGCTTGGGCACAAATTTTTCCGCCACTCTTCACATGCCCAAATCCTCAGTTAAAATTGTGTTTGCAGAACTTCTGCTGATCCCAACCTCATCAGCAACTTCACGGATGGCCAAACGACGGTCCTCCATGATCAGTGTCCGCACTTTTCCAATGACATCAGCATTGACGGTCTCCTGGAACGCTGCTCACTGTCCGCCGACATACGACCATGTTTAAAGCGGTTGAACCACTCTTTAATTTGAGTGACCCACATTACATCATCGCCGAAAGCCTGCTGAATTTTGCAAATTGTTTCCGCTTGGGTATCCCCAAGTTTCTGACAAACTTAATGCAGTATTGCTGCTCCAAGCGTTCTGTCATCTTGAGCAAAACAAGAATGCGACGAACACGTGTTACACCACTTCGCTATCTGGCAGCCACAGACGCATCCGGCAGTGTTGCGAGTCAGCAAAAAATCACGCTTGCGCATGAAAGTCCCTTGTACCACTACGCTCAGTTTCCCCACCCCTTTGGCCATTACTTACAGCGGAAAAAAGTAAAGTCGGATACTTTTTGGACGTACGGTATACTGAAAGAGTAGACAGCAGTTTCCTTGCCCAGTAATTTTAACAACTGATGATGACCACATTGGTCTAACTTTTAATAAATTTTATAGAAAATAGTGTTGCATGTGAGACTGTAAAAAACTAATCGTCACTAAATGAAAAGTGCAACAGAATGCTACCATATAATATTAGGAAACAATATAAGTTCTGCATGTAATATAGGTAAAATATTTGTAATTTTGTAATTATCATACTGTCGTGTGTAGTATAGTGAGACATATGTTTACATTCCTGACAGTTTACTGCACTGACGTGAAATGAAATTTTAGTGTCTAGTAATATTTCTTCACTCTTTCTGAAGTAAAAGTACTTGTTACATTACTTTCATTTTAGAAAACGTTAATTCTATATTTCATTGTTCCTCTCCAGGTTGGTACTACAGTATCCCTTCAGAATCTTTTCGGGTCCTTACCTGTGAGGCAGAAGGAATTTCATCGCAATTTACGTCGAGAGTTTGCAAAAATGACACAGCTATTGTATGCTTACTGTCTAGTCTGCATAGGCATCAAGTATGATATTTATTCAAGTAACATAACATTCTTAGAGATTAGAGTCTAAGATAGTCTACAAGGCATTTTCCCCATAAATATTACTGCCTTTGCAAGAACCAGTACAATGTCTGTCTGTATAATGTTTTTTTATTGCACCTGGGAAACTTCATAAACAGAAAATTCCTGTGTAATTTCAAAATAAATCCCTTGGCGAAGTTCTATGCTTGCTAGCCTATATCCATCAATGTCTGTGTCAATAAAAATGTATGGTTATTGTTGTTGTTGTTGTTGTTGTTGTTGTTGTTGTTGTTATTGTTATTATTATTATTATTATTACTATTATTAGAGGGGGTGGGTTTCCCCATGCACTTAGACTAGTTATTGGTCCATTGTGCGTCCCCCTTTAATTTCTACTGTTGCCATACCCTACCGGTACTGGTGCGTACTATCAGCCCCATTCAGCCAATGAGGTCGGCCCTCGGTACCTGATATTTCCTCCATCTACCAGAGGCATTGGAAACTACTTGGGCGGGAAACTTGTTGCCTAATTTTGCTCAGAGGTCTCCTAGAGACATGAGGATCTTTTACGTGCCGTAAATCTGTGACACGGGACCCACGGCTTAAAGTCCCTCCTGGAGGACTTGTTCCCTGAATTTTTCCGCCCTTAAAAATTCCATGACCTCCAATGGGTTTGAACACATGTACCTTGAGTCATGACGTGGGAATGTTACCCCTAGACTATGGAGGCCCCTAAAATGTATGGTTAAGTATTATAATGAAGTCCAGTACAATATCATGCCATGTTGTTTCCAACAGCACCCTAAAATGTCAAGTTGTAAAAATGTTCCAACTTCAGCGTTGACAAATAAAACCTACAGGTAAGGATCCATGTGTAGTGCTTCAGGGAGGGAGATGGGTTGTTACTTGAGGTCAGTGGTGTAACTGGTGACATTCCAAATCCAGACAGTTAAATGGCCTGCTTCTGGGAAGAGCACTCATTTGAAAACGGAAACATTACCAAGAACTGGCTGCTTACAGCAACAGGTAAAATTCAAATTAAAGTAAATGGGAGAAAGGAACAGGTGAAAGTTTTAAATTGTTGAAGACTCTGAGATGTGTCAGCTAGTTGGATATGGCAAGTGAATACCAAGTACTGAAACAGGATGTTGAATTTGAGATCTTCACAGCAGTGAATATGAAGAGTATGGTCTTCTGGGTTGTAACGCCTTGTAGTCCAGAGAGAGCCCACTGTTTCTGAATAACATATTACCTCCATCTTCAATATAAAAGAATAAGACAATCAAGAAACCAGCTGATATGAGCTGGCTCTCTCCAAATTACATGGTCTTACAACCCACAAGACTGCACTCTTAATGTAACTGCAGCTGATGGAGTTAATAAGGAGTAAGGAGATGGACATGACAAACTTTACATGGAGAACTGTTCATACCTCACCCAAAAACAATTTCAGTTTATTTCCATCCGTGCATTAGTGGTAGACAAAGAGTGACCCCTAACAGGTACTCTCACATTCATTTTTTTTTCCTGAAGGTTGAAATATAAATGCATCAGCAGGTGTTCAAATTTGATTTTGTGTACCAGCGCGTACCAACTAAGGAATAAGCTGGGTATATGTATTTATACAACACTGAACCTTCATTATCTTTTACCATAATCAGTCTGGTACTTATGTCTCAAAACCTTGCTTGCGAATCAAACCCATTCTTTGATTTATAGTTTAAGTCTTAAAATCTCAAATGACACACATTGAAAAAATTCCTATGATCTCCCCACCGATATGAATGCTAGAACATTGTTAATTTTGGCGAATAAAATCAGTTTTGTTAGAGTATAAGGCCTTGATGCTTCAGTTACGTATTTACATCTCTACAGAATTTTATAAGATGCAGTGCAAGATAACTGCTGTTACAATTGTTTTTGCAGGATCTCATGCACTAATCGAACTAAGAAAGGGGGTCACACTCCTGTGCTCTCAACCCAGGGAAGTGAAACAGTCCGTGACAACATTGCCTGCATCTTTGGGTCTAAACAGGTCTCTGTTACACAATGTAATGTATTCCTAGTCATGGTAATTTATGTGTATTATCCTGGTGGCAACATTATTTGTTCAGTAACCCATTCATAATACAGTGCCAGTAGTGGGAGGGGGGACAAAAAATCCATTTTCTTTTAAACATAAATGCATGTATATGATTTCCTATTTGCTCTCATGCATGATATATTTGTTAAATTTTACCAGCAATTCATACTTTCTTATAAGGTACAAAGTTTGATGGAGTTTCTACAGAAGATGCCAGATGAAACAGCGCTACAAGAATATGGAATATGTGAAGGGTCAGCATCCACTGAATACCCATTCCAGCTTGAAGGCTGCATATCATCATGTGCCCATGGTCAAGGTCGGAGTGCCGCTGACAGGCAGTTCTTTTATGTCAATTCTCGGCCTTGTGAGCCAACAAAGGTGAAGCCCACAATTCTTGTTTTGTTATACCTCATATAATAAATCTTCACATGGCAAAAAAACTGAGTTTTTTGGAATTGTTTATGACTTCATGTAGAAATTTTGTATTGTAACTTGTAAATATCTAGAATTTTCTGGGGTGTATGTGGAAAATTTCTTGAAGAAATTTTACTGTATTTGGATTTCTCAATTTAAAACTTCTTTGCTCTGCAATTAGCCAACTGTTGAATCAGAGATGAGGTCAAGGATGTGATAATGTGCTGCCTGGTCAAGACTATCACACACCTCAGGCAGAATTATGATGAATATGGAACACAAATGTAAGGTTGATTGGCAGAGGAAAACTGAAGATGCTCAAACAAAACCTGTTTTCTTCTTCATCCACCATGAACCCTACATGAAGTCACCCAAGATTGAACCTGGGTTTCTGCAGTGAGAAGCCAGTGTTTAACCACGCATTATATGGGAACTATAGTGGAGTTGGGCAAAGAATTCTCATGGATTTTCCTGTGAACTGTCTACCCTCACTTCTTTGCACTCCTCTTACTGTACTCAAGTGGCTGGATTATTCATTCTACACTAGCATTAGGTGAGAGGCACCAGCAGGGTTCTATGATGGTAGAGTGGGGAACAGCTCTCCCCTCATACCAGTTCATAACTTCACTGCATATAAAAATTCTTTGGTTAGCTTAATTCTGTAATTTACTGTCCCAAGTCTCTACTCCTAGGCTAATTAAGATAATGCAGTTTTATGAGGGAATCTTAAAAACAGTGAGGTTCCCCTTATTAATCCTGAATATGAGTGTATTTCTTATACAGTAATCCCTCATCTTATGAACACTTGATTTATGAATTTTCGCTATAGCAAACAACTTGCATTCATAAGTTTGGTGACTTTTACATGTGATTTAATAGGAATGTCAATTTGATTTATGAATTTTCACCTTGACAAACAGTTTTCATGGAACTAATTACTTCTATAAATTGGGGGATTTTTTTTTTCCTTGGCACTACAGCCCCAGTCGGCCTAGGCCTACGAGTACCTCTATGAACTTCTCCGTTCACTTCAGTTTTTCTAGATCTTAGACATATGGTAGGACTCTTTGGACGGGTGATCAGCTCGTCACAAGGCCTCTACCTGTACACAAACATAGTAAAACGCACACAAACATCCATGCCCTGAGTGGGATTCGAACCCACGATCCCGGCTTCCGAGTGAGCGAAGACAGTGCACGCCTTAGACCACTCAGCTACCGTGACCAGCATAAATTAGGGGATACCCAACATTATCAGGAGGTCACTTGGGTGTCAACAAGACCCTCAGTAAGGTCTGGCAAGGGTACTCCTGACTCCAGATAAGAAATGGTGTTGAGAAGTGGTGCCAACAGTGTGAGACCTGTGCAGCCAGTCGCAGCCCTCCAATCAGGAATCGGACAAATGCATCAGCACAATTTCAGGACCCCACATTTGAAAGGATAGCCATCAGTGTAGCAGGGCCCTTCCCACAGAGAGACCAAGGAAACCTATACCTCCTGATCACTACAGATTATTTTAAGAAGTGGCTGGAAGCCTACAACATTCCCAATCAAGAGGCTTCGACAGTGGTGGAAGCGCTAATTACCAACTTCTTCTGCCACCTCGGAGTACTGCGGGAGTTACATAGTGACAAGGGCTGTAACCTCGAGTTTTGTCTGATACAGGAGGTTTTGCAATATCTGGGAGTGAGCAAGATTTACACTACACCCCTGCACCTGCAGTCGAATGGCATGGTCAAGCACTACATCAAAATGGTCGCAGAGTGCCTACAAAAGGTCGCTGCATGGCACCAGAGGGACTGGGCACAAGATTACTCATCTTCCTCCTTATTTAAAGGGCATCCACTGACAACACTATAGGCTTAGCCTAGTGTTTGGAAGGGAAATCCAACAGCCCTGCAACTTGCTGTCCGGGGCACTCCCCAAGAAAGAATGGCCCACAATCGAACATGCAGCAAATTTAATGGGTCATCTACATGACATCCACAATTATGCCCACCAACACCTGAAGCTGGTCAGTGACCGAATGAAAACTCTTTATGACAGACTCGCCAACTGCATGGGCTACCGCAAGGGTGACAGAATGTGGCTCTATCACCAAAACTGCATGAAGGGGAGATCACCCAAGCTCCAAACCTCATGGGAGATCCCATATAAGGTGGTCATCCTGATAAATGATGTGGTTTCAGAGAGCTGCTCTGGATGAGTTGCCTTAAGGAGGGAGCAGAGGGAGAGGTTGGAGAGTAAACACCTCAAAAAACCAAGCCATGATGAGGAAGGTGAGAGCAACCACGGGCGTCACAAGCACAGCCCTCAGGAAAAAAGAAATGGAAGTATGGCCGCCGGCCATTTGGGTTGAGTAGCCTTAGGGAGCGAGCAATGTCTTGTTTACAGCTGTTGCTATGCAATGACTGCGAGACACGCGAACAAACAACAGTGTTATGCAAACCGTTTCTAGGCAACAGATTGGTAACATGTTCCTGTAGCAACGAATATGCATGCAACATTAAAGGAACATTGTTTTTTATGTGGTCCATGCCGAGATGTTATGAGCATGACAGTTTGAAATGAGTGCAGTTGTGGGATATTTGCTGGACAGTAACAACATGAGCACAGAAGCTGAAGAATCTCCATTATTGAGAGCAGTTACCAAGCAATGTCTAGTGAAGACAAAGCAGGCTGAAGAAGACTTAGCATGTCGTGATTTGTAAAGTGTGGAAATCATCGATAGTGTTATAGTTATTTGTAGTTACGACTTGTAAATCCATACCCCATCTATAGTCACACCTAAATTGTGACATTATCAATACATATTTCAACCTTAATGTTCATCAGTAGGCTACTATGCATGTACTGTAACAAATGCTGATCTTCTGTCACTTATACTATATGTATATATTTTACAGTTGGTCAGTATGTCCAATAAGTTATTGTTTACAGACTGAAATGCATAAAAACTGAAAATCTTTCCATTTTTTGTACTCTTAGGTCATTAAAATAATAAATGAAGTGTACCATCAGTTCAACCAGCATCAGTATCCATTTGTATTCCTTAATTTGAAGATGGCATGCAACACTGTTGACGTGAATGTCACACCTGACAAGAGAAAAGTTTTTATGGATCATGAGAAGCTTCTCATTGCAACCTTTAAGGTAAGTATAAGGTCATCATCATCATCATCCTTCTTTCCTGTATTAGGCCTACTGAGACCTGTTAACTTGATATTACAAAATGGATTACTTCATCATTTCAGATGTATTTCTAAACTTCTTTGCCCTTTTGGTTGACATTTTAAAGTCTTTTGCAATCCAATTAGATATCATCATGTCAATGTAGCCTTTCCAGTTTCCAAGTTCTGTTATTTCTTGAATTTATAGTTCTTTCATGATCTCATTTGTTTTATGGTCCAAAAGGGCATATCCAAAAGTTTTCTTGCAACCCACTGGTCATGTTAACAATCTAATCTTGTAAAACAACTGTTTGGTTATGCATGGCATACTGGCAAACTGAAGGACACATACCAATGTGTTAATCTCTGAAGGCTTGAATGAAAGCTATAGTCATCCTATTTATACCTATGAATTAGAGGAACTTGAAAAAGACCTTCCCAAGCAAAATGTAAATAAATTAAAGTTAAGGTAAGGTTTTCCTATATTTTATTATGTAATTAAGCACTTTGCCATGAAGGTATATTACATGTGGAGGTATAGCTCCACCATTCTTAACTTCGGCGCTAGATGGAGTTGAGTGGTCAGCTTCACACTCTTGCTGCTTTACTCCTGGGGATAGGGCCCTGGTAACCATTGGATTGGAGGCTGGGTGGGCCCCAGAGCTGGTCTGGAAGCTATGGAGAGAAGAAAAATTTCTTGCCCCTGCCAGGAATCAAACCCTGGTTGCCCAGCCTGTAGCCTAGTTGCTGTACCAATTGAGCTGTCCTGACAACTCAGAATGTAAATGAATAAATGTTAATTTAGAAAGTGAAGAAACGATAAGCTGTTGCTTCTGCCCTGACAATCTTACCTCATACTTCAAGTACAAGAATAAATGCTATCTAAGATGGGGGAGTGGACAAAAATACTTACACATTTTTTTTTTGTGGTTTATTTAATGATACTTTAAGTTGCTCAGATCATGTAGCATTTAATGATCAGATGATTAGTGAATACTGAATTGGAAAGGATGTGGAAGGAACTGGTCATGGCCTACTTTGAGGTACTATCCCAGCAGGTGCCTAAACAGACTCAGGAAAACCATGAAAACTTTTATTTATGATAGCCAGTCTCTGTAAATAAATGTAGAGATAAAAGAAAAGTGAAGCTATCCCTGCAACAGGCTGTGAAGGTCCGTACGGTTGTGAGACATTGAGGTTCCCACATCTTCTATATAGTCAGCTCACAGATGGTGGTGAGATTGCGAGCCTTATGCAGCAGCCGCCCTTTTACCCAATATGACAGATCCCTGATTCTCATTTTTCTCAGAGGCTGCTATTACTGAATATTTCTCCTGGGGCCAATCAGAATATTTCAGAAGATGAAACCTATTCCTAAAGGCTTAGTTGTACACCTGTGATTCGAGATACCTTAATCATTATGCATATTATAGTACATAATTAGTAATGTCTTTGCTCTGACCATGATGTGATTGTTCATTTAGACTTACCATTAAAGTATGTCACAGTTTCAATGTTTCCTTTTCTCATGGATAAGCATCAGGATAATCAACTAATGTAGTACCATGCCTAATGGCTCCATCAAATATCACATTTCATTACAAGTNGGATGTGGAAGGAGCTGGTCATGGCCTACTTTGAGGTACTATCCCAGCAGGTGCCTAAACAGACTCAGGAAAACCATGAAAACTTTTATTTATGATAGCCAGTCTCTGTAAATAAATGTAGAGATAAAAGAAAAGTGAAGCTATCCCTGCAACAGGCTGTGAAGGTCCGTACGGTTGTGAGACATTGAGGTTCCCACATCTTCTATATAGTCAGCTCACAGATGGTGGTGAGATTGCGAGCCTTATGCAGCAGCCGCCCTTTTACCCAATATGACAGATCCCTGATTCTCATTTTTCTCAGAGGCTGCTATTACTGAATATTTCTCCTGGGGCCAATCAGAATATTTCAGAAGATGAAACCTATTCCTAAAGGCTTAGTTGTACACCTGTGATTCGAGATACCTTAATCATTATGCATATTATAGTACATAATTAGTAATGTCTTTGCTCTGACCATGATGTGATTGTTCATTTAGACTTACCATTAAAGTATGTCACACTTTCAGTGGTTCCTTTTCTCATGGATAAACATCAGGATAAATCAACTAATGTAGTACCATGCCTAACGGCTCCATCAAATATCACATTTCATTGCAAGCAAACAAATGCTATGAATTACTGTTTAGGTGATCATAAAAGTAACTATAAATTGGAAAGCCAATTTGTTTTTTTTATCAATACTTTTGTGGGGTTTAATGTAGTTTTGTCATTACTCCAATGACAACCCACTTCTTCGGAACAGTTTGTTGGTCCTGAAAAGGACCGTGGTTGCTGAGATGCTTGACCGGTGAGGTAGTGCGGTGTGCGCCGATAGGGAGAGAGGTTAGTTGCGGACTGGACTGGCCGCAGTGTGGCCGTTGCTTGATCGCGGTGTGGCAGATGGTGGAGGTTGTTTGATCGCAGCGCGGCAGCTGCTGGTGAAAGGCTGGTCGTTGAGCGCGGTCGTACGAGTGATGAGGCAGTGGCTACACCACATACCCAGTGGGTCGGACAGGGACACGACCACCGGTGAGTCCAGGCGAGGTGCCCCAGTGAGTCGGGTGTGAAAGAGCCGGAGGGCCGAAGCAGTCGTGCCTGGCGCAGCCTGCCGATGCCTCCGAAGACCGAGCACTGGCGACGAAGCCTGCTGGCTGATGTTGCTTGAGTGTGGCTTGCTCGTAGACTGAAGTCAAACTGATGCTGCCTGTTTCGGGCTGCTCCTTTTTATACACTGCTCGGTGGGCGGAGCGAAACTTGAAATTGAGGAGGATGAATTTGCAGGGCGCANATAAGCATCAGGATAATCAACTAATGTAGTACCATGCCTAATGGCTCCATCAAATATCACATTTCATTACAAGTAAACAAATGCTATGAATTACTGTTTAGGTGATCATAAAAGTAACTATAAATTGGAAAGCCAATTTGTTTTTTTTATCAATACTTTCATGCTCCCTTTTCACACAGAAAAACTTCTACAGTGATGTCAATTAAAAAAATAGCATTACTGGACATTCTGCATGCTTATATATAAAACAAAGCCCTATTAGAATTTCCTGGTAATCTCCAAAATTTCATCATTGTTTAGATGAAATATGGTATGGAAAGTCTAAATTTTAAATGGTAAAGAAATATTAAATTTGACCCATATTTTATATATGGACATAAATGCTGACTGTATTCTTTTGAATTCAAATGAAAGAAAAAGTTTAAAATAAAGGTTATGGAGCTTAATAGAGTAAATATTTTATAATCTGGTGACCCTTTTTTGATTATTCTTCTTTTGAGAATTTTATACAATTTGATCTTAGTATAGGGAATGATGTTGTGAGTGCACTATTTCCACCCTTATTAAGTAGGGACTTAAATGATGAAACTTATAAAGCAAAGCTTTTACCAGTAATTCTCCTTGAATGTATACACGCTATTAGTTATAATTTAGTAGACACTCTGATAGTAGCATATTTCTTAATCTTAACTGTTTTGAACAGGCTTCCCTCTTTCACCTGTATGAAACAATTCCTTCCACTTTTAATTTTCAAAATATTTCTTCTGGCCCTGTTCCTTGTTCTCTTCCCTCCCCAAAAGCAACAGCAGCAGGAAATCTTGAAGATATGTTTAAGCAGTGGAGCCATTCTCCTGTGTATAATAATCCAGAATCTCCTACATCAGCGCAAGGAAAAGGAAAAGGAGTCAAGAGAACTTTAGGTCCCACAGGAAAGGAAGGAAGTGGTAAATCAAAATGTAAGTGACCAAGTTTTCAATTACAAATTTGGGTATAAATACTAACCAGCTCCATGGAGCAGAACCCTTCTTAAAAAGACAAAGTCACTCAGCTAGTCAAGGCACTTCTTGTCTTTCATAAAACCCAAAGCTCATTACCATGGCCACAAGAACCCAGACTTTATCTGAAGTAGATGAATCCAGTCAAATTCTCACATTTTAATTCTTTACAATCCATCTTAATAATACTCTCCCATCTATATCTAGCCCTTCTTATGGGTCTCTTCCCTTCTGATTTCCTAGCTAAATTTTTGTATGCACTTCTGATTTCTCCCGTGCATACTACATGTACTGTACATCTCATCCTTCGTCATATTGTCACACTACTAATTTAAACAAAGAATGGCAGGAGAATGAAACTGGTGAAATGATATAAAATAAAATAAAGGATAATGGAAACCCCATAGTTATACTCAGGGTTGATGCAGGACTAACCGTGGTCTGAGGCAACGTGAAATTCTGCAGCCCCCTGCTGAATTAAAAACTCAATAACTTCTCAAAATGAAGAATGCCGTCATCTGGGATGCGGGTCTTGTGTAAACCAACGTATCAGAGGAACACACCTTCAGGACAGAAGATGGAGGTGATATGTTCCTCTGAAACATCAGTTTACACAAGACTCGCACAGCGCCACATCCCAGGAAACGGCATTCTTCATAGTGACTGCTGTAAAAACCGCAAATCTTACAACTTCTCCAAACTTCATCACAATAACTTGAAATTCTCAGACATTGACAAGAACTGTCACTAGTGTCATAATTCTTAAAACAGTTTTATTTACATTGTTGAATAACATGTTTAGACTACTGTCAATTAATGGGCACAATAAGAAAGAAAATTGGACATTAATTTTCATTTAAAAAAAGAGGTTTTGAAGTGTGCCACTTCTGTTAGCCACTTGGTTCGCCTATACTGTTGTGATGGCCATAGTTACATTACACTATCATGCATTCAAAGTATGTTAGGGAGCAGGTTCCTTTACTCTAGGCCCAGAAAAAAAAGGACAGCTCAGTTTATTGGAAGTATGATGAGGCAAAAAACAAAGCATTACTTCATGAAATTTAACTCTGCATGTAATACATAAAGAAACGACAATAAGATCAAGGAACATATTTATAGAAGAAATATACTTGAAACGTTGTGTGTGACCTTCTGACACCATACAGTCTCATAAGTGGTTACTAACACTGCCCTGAAGATTGCAGCAAATTCCTCCAAAATGCTGTTAACTAGCTACCAGACTACACGGTATCATAAGACCACAATCTAATTCTTCATCACTGTGAGAACATCAGATCTCACCTAAACATTGCTTCAGGCATTGTTACATCAGTATCCTGCTTCTTTCTCTATTTTTATCCCTCTCTCTCTTCATGTCTTTGTTCCCCATCTCAATTCATATATAATTTTTACTTATATCTTTATATATTCATGTATCAAACATGCAACTCCAGATTATGTAAATTTTAAATGTGTGTTTGCATTTTGTCTAAAAATAAGACATCCTGTTAATTTCAAATCAGAACAGGAAGTTTGGTATCCAGTGTGTAAATCATTACAGAGGCAGAAGATTCAGGTGTTTTAAAAATTAAAACATTCAGTATACACAAAAAACAATAAACATGACTATTATTTTGGACACTGTAGCTTTCTTGAGTATTTTTAAGTTCAGTATTTCAGAAACTGGACCCTAGTTCTATTTCTGTCCCTTATACCTGACAAGAGAAACAGATCCAGTTTCCAAAATGTTGTGTTTAAAAAAAATCAATATGAAGGGCAGTGTCCAAAATAAGAGTCATGTTTAGTGTCACATGCCATTATGTGAAACATTTAAACTTAGTTTAACCTAAAAAGAAGTTTTATCATTGGCATGTTAAGAAATCCATTCACTGAGAATTTTACTTTCTTCTTGCTATAGTTTTACTATTTTTTTTTTATTCAGTGATTGAATAACACAGATTACATCAATAAATTTGTTTTTGCAGTGCACTGCATCAACCACTTTTTCTCATCGAGTATAAAGGAAGGAATAAAAAATACATTAATAAAAACCCAAGTTCCTCTTGATAGTATATCAAATATGGAAGAAACTTGGAATATGTCACAGGATGGAAAAGGGCTTGAAAGTGCTAAAGTAGATGATACCGAAGTTATTACTGATACACAGGAATTTCTGAATTCACATGAAGGAACTGATATTGAACATAATAAGAAATATGCAGACCATGATGTTGCTACAGATAAATATAACGAGACAAACAAAAATGACATTTTTATTACCCATGAAGACATCAACCGAGAAACAGCAGAAGAGTCAGTAGTGACTACAAAAACTTCTGGAGGTAGAGAAGATGTGGATATTATCGATATGGTGAAGAAGAACAGTAAAGATGAAGAAACCAGCCAGTCATATGACACTGGCAACATACAGACAGTTATGGTAAAACTTGATGGTGAGAAAATTGATGACTTAAGTCAGAAAACTGTTCATATGTCAGTCAGCATTGAGAGCATCAAAAAGAAAATTGAAGAACAGAAGAAGCACAATACAAACAGAAATAAACATCAGGTGTCAGTTAAGTTTCGTGCTGAAATTGATCCAGCAAAGAATCAGTCTGCAGAACTTGAACTGCGTAAAGAGATCTCACAAGATATGTTTTCTAAGGTGAGTAATGATATGTTTCTATATGGCATGACATTAATACAAATTATTAATATTATCTGGAGATGAATGGGTATTCCACAGTTACATTTCAGTGTATGCTTATGTTGAATAATACTAATTTCATCAGAGTCCTTCAAGTAGTCAAAATCTGTTGTTAAGTCAACATAGAATACCATCAAAGTTTATCACTTTTATTTAATTTTCATTGAGCAGATGCTTCTAATTACCCAATATGTTTCATTCTTTATTAATTAGACAATTTTCAGGGATTCTTTTTACAAAGATTAAAAGAAAACTTCACACAAGTATTATATTATCATGTAGTACAAGTGACTAGATAGGGTTTTGGATCGGATATTGACTGCTTATATACACAACTCTGAATTACAAGCAATTACAGCACCATCGCTAATCTCCACAATTCATAAATCACCACAGCACAAGGTAAGTCCTTTCCAGCCCTCAGTGTCTTCACTATTTATTTCCTGGTAATGGTTTTTAACAATGGCTATTCCTCTGCTTGCAGCCTTAAGTCCTCTCTGAATGGCAGCTGCTTTCCAATATCAGTACATATTTGTGAATATTTGCTGCAAATTCTTTTATCTTACTCAGTACTGCATTTGGTCTCAGGAAATGTTTCCCTATTGCTGACTGTTGGTGTCCCAGACATCCGACAGGATTTGCCTTAAAACAGATGTAATGAAAATTGAATTTCTTGACAGATGGAAATACTGGGCCAATTTAACTTGGGATTCATTATTACACGTCTCGGATCTGATCTTTTCATTATTGACCAACATGCAACAGACGAGAAATATAATTTTGAGATGCTGCAGCTCAATACTGTACTGCAAAACCAGAGGCTCGTTAAGTAAGTACTTTTTTTTTAACTAATAGTGTATTATTGTAACAATAGTAACACCCTTTGAGAATTTAATGGGAAGTTTCATTTGTTATAACAGCTCTTTCACTATTAACTTCCCCTGTGTTCTCCTATATTCCTTTTCAGGCCCACAGTATTGAATACATTTCACATGCCCACATTAAAATATTGCCATTCCTCATAGAATACACATGGTAGATTGAAACAAAAGACTGCATGCCGATTTACACGCAGTCAAAAGAATGGTATGAAATATGATTTGTTTCTTTCTTAAATGTTCCAGGCCTCAGAAACTTGAATTAACAGCAGTGAATGAGAGTATTCTCATAGAAAATGAAGAAATATTTAATAAAAATGGATTTGATTTCATCATTGATGAAAAAGGTAAGTCTGAAATGAGTATACTCATTGCATGGAAAACTCAAGACAAAAGCTGTTTACCCTACAGTCCTTTATAGTAGGAACAGCACAAGCACTTCATATTTTGGTCTTCTAGGTTATGACACTGTGTAGTAGTCTCATAGTTAATACCAAGATTTCATAAGCAAACATTGCTTCTGTTTTCAAGATGAAATGCTGGTACCTACCAGATCATAACATACAGTCATAATGAAGAAGACCATAATATGAATCTTCACTGCCATGAAAATCTCAGATCTTACACAAGTATAAGCAATGCTGAAGAACACAGTTTTCAAATGAAACCTGTTCATGGATTGTTCTGGGTGAAGGAAAAGAGGTGATTTAAAATAGTTCCCTTGGGTGTTCATACACATATCCCACTGATTCATCAGCTGATGGATCCCCCTCACAAAGACCTCCCTGGGCTGCTGCTAGAATCACTGCACCACATATCCCAGCAGTGCCACAAACGGGTTTCGTTTGAACAACCAATATCATGTAAACCTTAACATCCATGGAATAGATGAGCAATACATAGTGTTTTTAAAGAAAACCCGTAGAGAAGAAGAGACCACTTTAGAAACATGGGACATTAAAATGTAATTTGAAGAAACAGAGTATGAGGGTTTGCAGTGGATTCATCTGGCTTAAGAGACCCTAGTGACGTAGGGTAAAGGTAAAGTTGTTCCTCTGCTTACTTAATTAATTAAGCACAACGCCGTGACATGTGGGGGAATGGAGGTACGGCTCAATCATTTTTGACCTCGGCACTAGATGGGAGTGGTCAGCTTCATGCCCTTGCTACTTTACCCACAGGGAAACAGCCACTGGTACCTATTGCACAGGAGGCTGGGTGGGCCCGAGCTGGGCTGAACATTATGGAGAAAGGGAAAAATCTTTCCTCCCCCTGGGAATTGAACCCAAGTACTCCAGCCTGTTGCTATACCAACTGAGCTATCCCAGCTCCTTTCTCATTAGTGGGGTCTAGAGTATTTGGTAATGGGCCTTCATATTCCATAAAATGTACTGAATTCTTGACCAGGTGACTGACTGTACCCTGTCAAGGGCTGTGTTCCATGGAGTTTGCTGTAAATTAAAATTACCCAGGCGGGAAACTGTATGACATTCTGGATCTGTGTATTTTTAATGTTCTAACAGAATGCAGTGATACATGTTAATTCTTATTCCAGCTGAACCGACAAAACGAGTACAACTGACTTCAATTCCTGTCAGCAAAAACTGGCAGTTTGGAAAGGAAGATATTGATGAACTACTGTTTATGCTACAGGTAAATATATCTATTTAGCATATATCCTAAGAAATTATTTTTAAAATTGCAGTCTAACATATGTAGGTAAGTCAGTAAGTAAGTTACAAATGGATATAGAACTTAAATAAGAATACTGATTTGAAAAATGCTTCTATTTCTCAACATAATCTCCCTGTACATTGAGGCACTTGTCCCATCATTTCACAAGCCCCTGGAAACCAGCAGCATAAAATTATTTGGGCTGCTGTTGGAACCATCCAATGACAAGGATCATGAAGGCATACTGCTCACCACATTCCAGCCTCAAGGACAAACTGTAAATGCCAACTCCTACTGTAACATCCTCAGAAAACTTCATAAGGCCATTCAATGGAAGCGACCAGGACTCTCACCAATGGCGTGTTGCTCTTGCATGACAACGCGCGTCCCCATACTGCCAACAAGATAGATGAGACGCTGCAAAATTTCAAGTGGGAAGTCCTTGAGTAACCTCCGTATAGCCCCAACCTTGCTCCAAGCAACTTCCATTTGTTTGGCCCTCTTAAACATCATCTTATGGCTGAACATTTTCCTGACGATGAAGCTGTAGAAAGGGAAGTCACCGCCTGGTTCTCACAGCAGCCCAAAGAATTTTATGCTGCTGGTTTTCAGGGGCTTGTGAAATGATGGGACAAGTGCCTAAATGTACAGGGAGATTATGCTGAGAAATAAAACCATTTTTCAAATCAGTACTCTAATTTTTCAAGTTCTATATCCATTTGTAACTTACTTATTGACTTACTCTTGTACATTCAGGATCATAAATACATGAATATTGAAACACTGGTATGTAAAACTATGCAGGTATACAAGAATTTTCTTTGGGTTCAGAGAGACATGTCACATGCAGTTGTTTCTTTCCAAAAACTTGTCAGCCAGTACTTTCTCATTCATTTTTATTCTCTGCATTGAAACATACAACATGACTGCAGATTGAAGACTTTTGACAAGTTTGCTGCTGTGCATCAACTGTTTTCTGGTATGGGTATTGGCTGTGAAGTTCTCTGAGTATCTGAATTCCATTTTCCATATTTCAGTGTCATGAAGTTGTACCTTAATCAAAGTATCATAATCACATGCACTGCTGAACTTGAACTTGAGTTATGAAATATAGTTAACAGACATATGGGTATGTGAAGCAGTAAAGGACAATGTTACATTTACCATAAGCATCTGATGATGGATGTCAGTACCTGATCACTGAAATTCTTATAATACTGAACTCCATAATCATGGAATTCATACAATATATTGAAAATATTTATGTATATAATGAACTGGATGAGAGATTATAAACATCTTTTCTTAAATTGTTTTATCATTATTCAGCATAACTTATGCATGTCTGTGCACATAAATGAAGGGATGTTAACTGTTTGCTTCTTGTGACATAGTAAAACATAGTAAAATTAAAAGAACTATGCTCCTTTGGACATAGTAATGTTTCATTTAAAAATTGAATACCTGGACAAGAATTGGGCTCACATCACTGCAGACTGGTGTTCTAAATGGAACTGACAAAGACTTCATTAGACACATGTCCGAAAACAAAGGCAGGCAGGCACCTTCTGTACTGGAGAGTATAGTCTTCTTGGTTGTAACACTGTGTAGTTTGGAGAAAGACCAATATTTTTGAGCAAAATCTTCAGAAGCCCTGCTTGCCATCTTCTTTGACTGGTTTCTTGCTTGACCTACTCTTCGACCTTGAAGACACAGGCAAAATTTCCAAAATGTTAGGCTTTCTCTGACACTATGTTACAACCCAAAAGACTACAGTCACTGCTTCGAGAACCTTAAGTCCAATGTATTTTCTACTGACTAGGTAAACATTTTCTAACATGCAGATAAAAGTAAAATTTTCCCCTGTGTTTAGTTGAGCATTAAACCATAAAGACATAGGAGAGGAATGGAGGTAAAATCTGCACATTAATCTTAGCACTAGATGAATATTAGTGGGCATTTCTGTGTCCCCAGGGAAAGATCTGCCAGTACCCACTGGATATTGGTTAAGGAGCTAGGTGGACTCCAGAATGTGTGTGAACACTAATAACTCTGTGGCCTGTAGTCTGCAAGCGAACTATACCGATGAGAGACCGCTGCTTGTCAGCAAAGTTAGGGCCAACTTTTGCAGATAGAGGGTGTCACGTGGTCAGAACAATGGATCCCCATGGCTGTTATTCTCGGTTTTCTAGACTGGAGCCGCTATTTCCTTGAAACAGCTCCTCAGTTATCCTCACAAGGCTGAGTGGACCCCTTTCCAGACCCACTACTTCTCAGAAAATCTAGTAGCACCAGGAATCAAACCCAGGACCTCTGGATCTGTAGGCAGGAACTCTGACCCCTAGACCACAGAGGCAGTCAGTGTGTGAACACTATGAAGGGAAAAATCTCTTTGTCACTGCCAGCAATTGAACCCCAGTTCACTGGTTGTCCAGACCAAAACAGCAACCCCAGAAATATTAGTTCATACTAAAACACCATAATCAGCATGAAGTGACTTTTCAGGATGCCCCACATACTATGTGCCGGCCATCGAGAGTTAGGGCAATGTTTGCATCCAGGGCCTGTCGTAAATCTGTCATGATTGGGACAGCTTTAAGCAAAGCAGATATGAGGCGTCTGATTGACCATATGGGAGAGATTGAACAACCATGGGTATGTGTAATGTAAAGCTTACGAATAAACCTATCAAGCCTAATATGACTGTTACATGATAGTACAATATTTCATTAATGTATTTCTAATTTTCAGAACTGTCCACACGGTCGACCAACTATGAGACATCTTGTGAACTTGGACCTTATTCATAATGGATAACTCTTCATGGTGTTTAATTTTTCACGATATCATTGTCTGTAATATCTGTATACTAATCTCAATGTAAATGCCTAATTTCTGCAAATCACTTACCGACTCCTACAATAAGTATCACACGAACTGAAGACATCTTCTGGGATAAATAAAACAAAATTAGGTAAAAATAATGATACCTATATTTTATAATCTCCATATATAAAAGGCTATGGATTCCAGTGACACAACATACAAACACTAGAAGGCTCTCAAGAAAAGACATTTTCCTGTTCTAGGTAATGTGTGAGAATTCTGTATCCCCTGTAATGAAAGTACACACTATAATTTTACTTCTCAAAACAGTTAAGTTTATTTACAATGTATGACAACAAAAAGAGAACTTGAAACTTGTATATGTACAATTATAAATTTAACACTGATTACAAAACAACTTTTCTTCCTTTAACCTTTATCGGACGAACATCATCATATGATGTCGTTAAAAGTTAGGGCAGCTGGCCGAACGTCATCATATGATGTCGCGGATTCCACGCGTGTAAGGTTTTTTTTAATATTATATTAAAAATATAAATTG